CAAATAAATATAAATTATAGACAAGAATAAAAGCTCAGACTAAAAGCTTAAACTAAAAGCTCAAACTAATTATCTGTAACCTAAACTTACTAGAGTAGTCAAAACTTACCTAGGTTTGAATTGTTAGGATATAGTTAATAGATATACTATATTTGATTCACATAGTAGACCAAATATTAATTTTAAAAGTGGCTTGCCCTAAAGAAGAACAAGTATCAAGATCAGAGTGTAATTAATTAGCAAAGCCACAAAAACAACTATATGCATAATTAATTTTGTTTCTTCTGTTGGTTGACTGTGAAGAAAATTGGAGTTGTATATTAAAGTTAGAGTAGTAAAAAATTTGGTGAGGTTTTTTCCAGTTAGAGAAATTGGTGCAGTATGTAATCCAAATGTTGTTGTAAAGTTGGTTAGAGATTTAAGAAGTAACTGAATAATAAGCTAAGAAGCATTAGAATATAAGATTTCAAATAGATCTAAGGATTGAATTAAAGATATAGGTATAAGGCCTTTAAGTATAAAATTCAAAGAGAAAGAGTATAATTGAGATGGTAGCAGATTGAAAGCAGGGTGTAAAGAGATAGTATATAATTTTTACTATTTTAATTATTTTGAATATTATAATTTCTTTTAATTATTTTCAATATAACTATTCTATTCAAAATATCTATAAGAGGTATAGTAACTTATTGTAGTAGTTTAGTTATTACTTTCTCCAAGCAACAGGTCTAGAGTTTGAATTTTACAGATAACAATTTTGAAAAATAAACCTGTAATACAGTTGATAGCTATCAATAATTAGTTAGATCTAGAAATCTGTAATCTTGGTAATATTATCTAGAATAGAAGCATTGGTACAACAGTGCTGTAGTACACTAACCAAAGTACCCTTCTTTTTCAGTATTCCCATATGCAAAGTACTCTGGTACAAAACACAAAAACTCTATTAATTAAATATGAGTTTTTTAAATTTTTAAGCTACTTATTGTAAATGTGGAATATGTATATGTTTAAAAATTTTTTTTATTATGACACATATCTGCTATTGTATAATATACTTGGGTCCTTTGTAAGTTTTTGATGAGTAGATTGTATTGTACCCTAGGTACTTTGGTCAGTGCACTATGGTAAATCTAGAGATCAGAATAACTAAAAATCTAATTAGGAAATTCTGAGTAGTGATCTTTGACAGTGCTACAGAAAGGCTAAATTTGGAACTAGGGACCAAAATCAAAGAACTAAGTAACTAGGTTTTTAAGATATATTTGCTAAACTGCCAGATTTAGATATACTAGAAAAAAAGAATATATATTTCAAAAGTATATATTTAGGTTTTTAAGTAAGAGACATACTTGCTAAACTGCCAGATTTAGATACACCAGAGAAAAAGAATATATATTTCAAAAATATATACCAAGAAGAAAAAAATTGTGAAATACCTAAAGCCTAAGCAGACTAACCCTTCCAAGTTGCTAACTAGAAGTAAGGAAGAGACTGATAAAAAATCCAAAAAAAGAAGAAAGTTCAAATGTGAGTATTGGGGTTGTTGTGAATCTTACAAGAGCAAAAAGTAAATAATGAGCAACTAATTAGAAAAGTTATAGCTTGAGTGACTGTAGAATAGTAGTATCACAAAAGATATTATGAGATATAAACAAAATACAGCAGTACAGCATATACTAGTCAGAAAGAAGTTATTGAATATGCAAATAAATATATATATGGGCCATATATCACACTGTTAGGTTTACCTTATGAATAGACTAGCTTAAATTAGTAAGTCCTAAAGTAGAGTGCAAAATTCAACAAGAGTAAATAGCAAAATCTATATTTGTATAGTAAGCAATACCCAGAGTTAAATATATAGTAATCAGAGTTTAAATAGACAACTTCTGTAATTAGAGTACAAATAATAAAGTGTAACAACGCAGTCAATAATTGGGCTAAAATTTGTACTACAGAATTAAAAAAGAATATTCCAATTGCAGATCTTTTACCAAAAACGAAATGACCTGCATTACACAATTTTGAAAAATCCCTGATGCCTCATTACTTTATGGTTACTCATCTCTTGAGACTCGACGCACAGCAACTACGTTGTAGAAACTCCAATTCTTTGTATTTGGTACAGCACAAATCAAAACAATACAATTACAAATTGATCTAGTTTGCATATTTGCTTATATTATATTCCTAATGTAGTGTACTAAGCTATGTAAGACAGCTATTAAAAAAATCGAAAAGAATCTCTACTGTCAAGAAAACGGTAGATGTCATTATGTTAGTCTTCGAAATAACCTACTGACTCTGGTAGAAAGTGCTCCTGAGGCTGAATAATAGTAGAAAACAAAAAGAAATGTTAGGTCCGAGACACCATAAGCCAATACCCTTTGATCATTTTTTTGTGATGCTATGAAAATTGTTGACATATACTGAATTTTGATTGTGATTAATAATAATAAATCTAATAATATAGTTGTTCATGAAAATAAGATCTATCGATTCAAAGTAAACAGATAACGGATAAATTACTATATCAATATATTACAGTATTGTTCCGATGATTGTGCATTTTAGAAAGTGAGAAGAGTATTCTAGAAATCTATTCTACAGGACATGGAAGTTTAACACAGAATTCTTCGAATTTGTTTCTGTAGTAATTAATAAGAAATGATCTACACGGATAGAAAATTCCATATTTAATACAGATTCTATATATAAATTGACCGAATTCAGATTCGAAAAGTCATTTTGTAGCAATCAACGAATCAATAATTTTATTAATAACGTATTTTATTTATTTATAACAGTATAAGATGCATAATGAAGAGATATCACAGAATATTAATAATAATCTATCTATGGAATGGAGTGTAGGTTTTCTCAAGATCAAACTAATACAAATTTGCTAAGCACTTATAATAATCCATTTATAAGATGGTCCGCTAGTCTTACTCAAGGTTATGAAGATCAAACTATTAATAATCTACCTACAGAATGGTCTATGAACTTGACTCAAGATCAAACTACTATAAATTTACCAAACGTTTATAATAATAATCCACTCATAGAATGGCCCGCAAGCTTTAATCAAAATAGGGCTAATAATAATCTACCTATTGAATGGTCTACAGACTTTACAAATAATAATCAGTCTATAGAATGGAATGCAAGTTTTTCTCAATATCAAACCAATATAAATTTGCTAAACATTTACAATAATTCGATTATAGAATTGTCCGCAGGCACTACTCGAAACGATGAGGATCAAACTAATCATAATCTATCTATGGA